CTATGTCCTTAGACCAACATGGCTACAATCTACACCCCTAAAGCTTATCCTATGTCTTGACTTACTCATACTTATCTATAGAGAATAGAGAGGGATAGAAAACTTCAGAAATAGTTGGGGAGGGATGGAATGCATTTCAGAAGAAAAAAAAAAAGAAAAACTGGGAGTTTTGCTACAAGATCACAAGAAAAATGAGTTTTGTAAATTCAGTATTTACCCTTTAAGAATCTCTTGCAGAGCTTGATCCATTTGGTAATCCCTCACCCAGGAATTAAACTATATGCTGTAGCAAATCACAACCCCAAGCAACTGATGTTTCCTTGTCACCTTTTAGGAGGATAAGGACAATGTTTTTTAATTTTGAAAGTGTTTTTTCTAATTTTACTTATAAACTTCCAACTTTGCAGTTAGTCATCTTGTTTAAAGACTGATCTGACCTGGAAATCTTGATGCTGTTATTGGCATTCCTTGTGAAGTTCTACAAATATTAGCAGCAAGGAAAAAATCATGCTACTATTTGTCTGACTATAGAAATGCCTCCACCCTTTTCAGAAGGCAAATGAACTTGTGTGTCACATTTTTTCCCCATATGTCTTCTGCCTACAGATAAAAGACTTGCCACAAATTACGGAAGTATTGTTGTTTCTAGAAGACTTATTCCAGAGTCTACTGCGCTACCCTGTATTTTGGAAACTCCAGTTGTCCCAGCTTTGTCTGCAGGTTTTATGCTTCTGTGAGGTGTGTCTGGACATAACAGGGGAGTGTTCATCTTTGATTGGCCTACTAGAACAGAATGTTGAGCTTTTGCAAGAGGTAAGATTTGGGAAGAAAATACAAAACCTAGTCAAATGGAAGGACGGTTGCCACTTTAGCAGTAGTGTATCAAAAGAGATAGATATACACAGCGCTCACCCAGATCTAATTGTTTTGCCTTGGAAAACACTGGAAATAGCAGTTTCTTGTGGTATAAAACAACTGCTTTCAGGCTTTCGAAGTCTGAGAAATTGAGGTCAGGACACTTGAAATTTTGACACCCCATCCTGTTTGCTGTTTCACTTTTCCATTTGATTTGTGACCTGCTTTTGGTGGCAGTTGGAAGCTCTTTGGGAAACTATGCATTTATGCTCTCTGGATTTGTAAAATCCTTTGTTTTCCAATGGTATGAAGCATTATCAGGTAGTTGTTTGGGTTCCTGAACGTATTGGCTGGTATCGCTTTCATGTTGGAATTATCTGGAGATTGTAAAGACTAGGTAGGTACCTATTAATATTTTAATTTCCAAACATTTGTTAGGTAACTTTTTCACCTTTACAGAAAACTTAAAGGAACTACATAATATCTGCCTCAGATTTTTGTCTTTGCCATCAAGGCCCAGTTAATTTAAATGAAAAAATTCTTGGATTTTCACCTTTTTATTGCACTTCATTGCTTTTTGTGATTGGCCGACATTTTTGGATCTAGCTATAACCTGTGGAAATCCTTGGAAGGATCAAAAGAAAACTTCTTTTGGTAGAACTGTGTGTGTATAGCACAGTTTGCATGTTTAGAAAGTAAGGTGAATTAAAAGTCAAGATTTGTTTTTCTAAATTAAAATCCTTTTTAAAACAGCTTTTCTATTGTTAGAATATATATATAAAATACCCAGCCTACCCTTGTAGGGTTTTTACCCTTACAAGGGAGAAGCAACATAGGCTTGAGTTCTATGAAGTCTCTGTTCGTACTGATTTGTATATGAAAAGCACTCAATTACTGCAAGGATTTGGTGGCAGTGTAAAATCTTAAGGTAGGATATATTTTTAATTTTAGTTGATTTTTTTTTTCTAATTTTAAATAAAAAATCTTGTCTATTATACTTACTTTTTCAGTCGTAAATTATTACATTTGTACTTGACTCTTTAGTCACCAAGTCAAGATCTGCTTTGACCTTTGGATAAGTCCTCAATCAATGTTAGTATTTCCAGTGAATGGGATGTGTCTAAATCATTTAATTGACTTCTAAAATCTCAACATCCAAAGCTTAACTTTAGGTTAGATAATTTTGAAAAAGAATGGCTTCTGTGTGTGTGTACATTTATATATATATTTTTCAAATTTTGTGTATACAAGTTCCCAGTAACTGTTAGTGTACTGAGAGACTAAATAACATTTCTGTATTAACACTAGAAGTTTTCTTTTGTTATGTGATGGATGTCATGCCTTCAAAGAATAATAGTTGATAGTGCTGCTGACAGCCATGGCAAGATCTGCCCTGGGCAAAAGCCAGTGTTCTGGCTGGGGGCCCCCTGGGAACAGCTCCAGGTCCTGCAAGGTACAGGACAGCTCCCAGAGCAGGTCCCTGCTTGTAGAAACTATGGGAAAATCTCCAGTTCCTATAGGATGAGCAGCAGCTACTAGAGCTGCTCCCCTCTCTGCAG